TGGTCAACCTTAATCACATAATTATTGAAGATTATCTTGCATTGTGATTTGCTTGTTTAATTTCTGGGATGACAACTAACCAAGAAAGGGAAGATGATGTTAAACAACTATTAAACTTTGAACAGCCTTATATACAATATATATAAATAATTTAGCAAATTAAATTTAGCCACTAAGCTGGCTTAGTTATATCAAAATTTATCAACTCGACTTAGCTGATAAAATTTTATCAATTACAATTACTATAAACTTGTATGAAGCATGCTTTAGAGCTAAAAAAAGCTGCGCTTATGAAAAATCATACAAGGAAATTTTTTAAATCATGCGAAAAAATTATCTGTTTAGATCAATGTAATATGAAGTTAAAAATTAGCCTTTGTATAGTCTTGTTAATTTTGTGAAGTTAATTTGTTATAATTGACGATTTAATAGAAAAAGTTTATTGTCAAGTTTTCATATGAAATGATAACTCTTTACGATGGTGAATAATAATAATTTTAAAAAATTTGAGGTTTAAAATATTCAGAGATCGGTATAAAGAAGATTGTCAGGCTCAACTGTATGTTTACACTTTTTAGGAAATTAATTTTGGCAAGAGTTTCATCATATGGCACAGTTTCATTATGTGTTATGGGCGTTATGAGTTACATCAATCGCCAATGGTTTTATTAGATGAAACAATAACTAAACCTTGTGAATATATAATTGATAGATTATTTGAAATCTCAGAAGTTTCTCGTTTATTATTGCTATGATTGTAAACTGCTATAACTATTTTATTTCCTGCATTAGCAGAAATTTTTTTTCAAGTTGACGTAAGTCAACAGATCAAAACGGGCTAAGCAGGGGTCACCGGCGTAATACTGTGATCTGGCTCAAGCTAGTGCGAATCAGGTTACAGGCAAGAACTGATAGAAGCAAATGTCATTTCTAATCAGGCATAATTAAAACCTTAATATTGCATGATAGGACATGTGAATTCAGATAAGTAGAATGTAATTAAATGCTTATTTAGATGCAGCAATAACTAATGATTGCATTACTGACAGGTTTAAAATAAAAGGAGTGGAATCGGTATAGAGAGAGCACTATGTCAGCAATTGCAAAGGTTCGATATTCACACCCGATCCCATCTACGCGTTGTAAGGCTGGGAGGTTAAGTGGAATTTTGCCACTTCGGGTAACTTAAATCTTCATATTAAAGTCAGCCTGTTTTATGCAGTGTGGGAGACCACCGACTAATGCTACGCATCGCGAATTCAACTGATGATAGAGATACCCAGTGCTATCTTGTTGACTATTTCTGGGAGTATATTCCATCTCAATTTATACATCAATGCACACAGCATATTCTATGAATAATCATTCAATAAAGTTTAATATCTGGCACTATTAGCCAGATGCATCCAAATAATAAATAAAAATTGTACACATCCGTGCAATACTTTTCAAAAATGAACAACTTCTATTGATATGCATATTAATTAATAATATAATGTATATTTAATAATTAAACTTTAATATCAGTATTAACAGATACGCCTTACTTTACTAACAATTGTTTCACTAATAGCTCATTTAATCGACATCTTGCTATATGAAATATTAATAAATAATATAGATGAATATATGATTGCTAGATTATTTTAGAATCTTAGAAGTTTCTTGCTATTATCGCTATGAAAATTACAGAATCACATCTTTTGCAAACTATTATAGCTCTTATTTTCTGTATTAGCAGGAAATTTTTAAAATGAATGATTCTGATAAGGGTAGAACAATTGTTAAATAAAATTAGTATTTCTTATCGATGCATAACAATAATATAGATCTATTTAAATAATTAAACTTTAACATCAGTATTAAAGGATTACTGATAATCATTTCACTGACATCTCACTATGAAATTTTAGTAAAAATATATATCTGCATTAATCAAATACTTAATCCTAACTCTATATAATGTTGGCTAAATGAACTTTCAGTTAAATGAGCGGAACTTGTATTAATTTATAATTTTCAATCCAAATCAGCATTGCATTTTTGCAAATAAAAGATATTTAAGAGTAAGTTTTGCCATTATTAAAGAACCTCAGAATTTGTTTATTATACATTTAGCTATATACATCTTAATGTCTCGGCCTGCTTCACGATGTGGCCCTAAAAATATTGCATGCAATGAATGTAAAGAAAAAAAAGTAGCCTGTAGAGGCATTTTTTTATTTTGTTCCAAGTAGAAAGAAGTGCAAAATTGTTCATCAAGACTCTATGTTGAACCTATTCCTGCAACACGTCTATGTGTTAGATGTGCCAATATTAAAAGATCATGTAATAGAACTTACACATTGTGCTATTGTTTTCCATGGCATTTATATCATAATAAACATCAATTGGTTTTAAAAGATGAAAATGCACCATATATTAATGGCCAATCTCCACAACAAACTTTTGATAATCCAACGCCTCAACCTGAAACTTTACTATTACCAGAATTTGAAATTACTTTACCGCCAGCTAGTCCTAACTTTCCTGAAAGAGGTGCAAGAGAAATATCGATAAAGGCTAAAGTTTGTAAAATAGTAGGGGGTCCTTATAAAGGAATAACCATGGAAATTGATACTCAATCTGATGTAACATGGATTTCTTTAGGATTATTTAATTTTTTAAATTTTGAAGAAATTGATCTTGATGAAGAAGTGATTACTGGGCATGGTAATGCTATAATTTCTGTACATTGTATTGCTTTATTATATATAAAAATTAATAAAATAAAAGTATATACTAAAGTATATGTAGATGAAAATGCAGAACAAATAGGAGGATTAATTGGAAAAGATATAATTAAAGCAATGAATATGAATATTCTAACTAAAGAAGGGGCAATTACTGTAATATATGATGATAAAACTTTTACTGTACCTATATATGTTGGCAAAAAAACTAATAATTTACAGCTTGAACTCTCTGATCATGAATAAAATATAAATATGGATGTTGATTTAAATTTTTCTTATATTTTTTTATATTATAGTAGTAATTTCTTTTCTTATCGCATTTGTTAGTATATATTTATATAACTAAGTAAGCTCGAATTTAAAACAAGGATGGATAATGTAATAATTATGTAATACTTATGTAAGCAATCCTTTACATATTTATTTTAAGAGTTACAAATTACGAATACGTAAACTATGTATCAGGTATGTGAACATGTGAATTTGATTTGTGAGATCCCTAATTTCTCCCCAGTTCTGATTAGAAGTTGTAAATGCCATCTCTAATTGGACAAAGTATACTACGCCACACTTCATCTACCAATCAAATTATAAGATCAGGTGTAACATATATTTTTCAAAAAAATCGAAGTTTTTGAAGTTTTTTTCAAAAATCACTAGTAACTTAAAATTTTGGTTACAAAACCACCTCTTGTGTTCTAACAACAAAAATTTTTTGTAAAATTTTATTATAGGAATAATTCTATTCGACCTTTGTACTATTTCAATGATACTTCTATTATTTGATTGAACAGCAGGATTTTTCTTCGTTCAATAGAAACTAGAGAAGAAAATTAGATAGGAACTAGGGGAGAAAATTAGTAAACCCTTGATTTGCTTCCTATAAAATTTATTCCATGTTTAATCTATAAATTTTAAAAATATTGCACTTGCCCAACATGTTTAGTATGCTTAGTTTGTGCAAAAACATATATATATAATCAAATTACAATGTTTATAGATATATTTGAGTTTGATAATTTTGTATGAGTTTGAAATTATTAAAAATTTACAGTTTGAGTTTAAGCTTGATTTAAAAATTTGATCAAACTCAAATTAATCAAATCAAACTTTAGAGCACTAAGCATTAGACATTATTATAAATTATTAATAGCCAAGTGCAATTTTCATATAGATATGATTACCAAAATAGAGCTATTAGATTTTAATATTGATAATGAAATATTAGAACATTTTTTTGTTTAAAATAGTTAACAATATGAAGAAATTATTTAACTGTGTTAATGTGATAATAAACGATGATAATACTGAGATAGATGATGCTGAAATTTGGTGTCTTGATTTGAAAATATAAACTCTATTAAAATTCACATTTACTCTTTTACCTTTTATTATGAACTCTAACCTTAACTTTAACTTAATTCTAAACAAATAAGTTCAAATTTCAGCATCATCAGATAATGATGCGTTAAATAAATTACAAATTTTACATATGCAACTATATTAGATTCAAATCAGATTTTATAAAGGGTAACATTCCAAAATGTTTCGATATTGTACTATTTTCCTGAATTAGAATCTAGTAATTCTTGTATATATTTTATTTTGATTAAATAACTATTGATTTTTTTGAA